CCCACATGTCCAGGTCCTCAACCTTGGGGTCACCACTCGAAGGACTGGCTGTCCCTGGGTGACGCGCTGGGCTCTGAGCTGGTAGTGAGTGACCCCATCCAGGGAACAATGACAGCCAGTAGCTGGTGGAACGCAAGCTAGGAGATGGTAGCAGCTGCTGTAGGCTTTGCCAGAGCAGCACTTATTTTGGGAAGGGGTTTTGATGTGTCTTCCCTCCTTTTCACCCTTGTGAGCCTGCCTTGACAGCAGCAGAGCACTCCTAGCTCAAATCCTCTAACCATGCACTTGTGTAGCCCCAGAATGGAGGAAGGGATCTGCCTTTTTCCCTCCTCCTTGCAGCTGTCTGATGTCCTTAGTCTCCTAGCCCTGACACTGGGGACTTTTGACCCTGGAGGCCAAAATCCTCCACACAAACACTTAGGAAACCTGGCTAATTTGGCGCGAGTGGTGTCTCACATTTCTGATTTGCAGACAGTCCTGCTTTCTCCTTTGAGGAGCCAAGGGACCTCTCCACACCTTGCCTTGTGGCACCAGCCCTCCTAAGACAACGGAAAGCATCCTGGTTCCCAGAAGATATTGCAGGATTCATCCATGCCACTCTGAAAGAGCAGCCCACAGAGGCTCCATGTCCTCCACTCCCCACAACCTCCCACTGCATCTGTCCTGGAGCTGCTGGTGAGCAGCCTGTGCCTGGGGACACTGCCATCTGGACCTCCTGGGACAAGTCCTGCACCAGGAAAGGCTGAAGGATTTGGCTACAGTGGGCAGCAGCTGCGGAGGGGAACGTGGCCAGGACCACCCTGTGTGGTAGCCCAGCCTCTGCCACCCTGCAAAACAGGGAGCATGGAAGGGAGGACATAGAGGAGATGATGGCTCCCCTGGGCCCTGCTCATCACGAGTGCCAGGGTGGAGTTTGGACCTCCAGCTTTGCAGATGCTCTTCTGAGACACTTTGGATATTCCCTAAACCTCTTCCTCCTAACAATTTTAATTATACTGGCTGCTGTTCAAAATAATAATGACAGGGAGAGGAGTCAATGCTAAGCAGCAGCCTGTCACACTTCGTGAGGTGCCCTCAGGGGACACTGGGCCAGACAAGCAGCCAGCCCAGAGTTGTGCCAGCCAAGTGGGTGCCGGCTGCCACACCAAGCCAGCCACCAGTGGGCTTTGGGGTCTGGGCTGGCCTCTGTGTGAGCGTGAGAGCGTGTGCAGGCACTCAGGTCTCCTTTCTCTCCCCCTCTCTGTCTCCTTTTATTTGCCTCCATAAAACATAGGAAGTTCAAGCCATTCATTTTTCTATTTGTGTCTCCCTCCCCACGCCCCGGTTCCCTCCCTTGCCCCCTGCAGCCTCTCGGCTCACTGCTTGCCCAGCATCCTTGACCCCGAGAAGTCTGGTGTGTATGCACTTCCCTTTTGGCCCATGGAAAGCGCCACTCTGAACTGGTGCCTTGATAAGTCTGCTGTGGGAAGGCAGGGGCTCCTGGGCTCCCACACAGGGCTTTCCCATGTAGCGTTTCCTATGCTGTCCCTGCTCCCCCACGCCATCTCCAGACCCGGGCAGTCCCTCCGGATGGCGGTGCCCCTCCCTGGCAGCAGGTCTGTCCCCCTCAGGATCCCGTGGCTTGCTCTGTGTCAAAAGCCATGGCATGTGGAAGGAGGCATCCTCTTAAGGAGGAGGATGTTTGATTGGCTTCTCATGGGCTGACACAGCACCTCTCAACTCACCTGCAGCAAAGGATTGCAAAGGGCTTGAACCCCCCAGCCCCTTCCTCTTGGCACTTTTGCAAGCAGAGCTCTGGAACACTCTCCCACAGAGTTTGGGATCAAAGGGATCTCTGTGCTATCTGCAAAGAAGCAAGCACGTGGCAGAGCACACGGGACTGGGGTCAAGACCTAAGAGGGGCTGGAGACTGGGTTTGACTGGCAGAGAGGAGGAAGGAGAGGCTCAGCAAAGACCTTTTCTCTGAAATACTCCCTTTGAGCTTCTTTGACAAAGGACGAGGGGCCCTTGGTGCCTCAGCTGTGGTTTGGTGGTGTGCCAGAGGGCGAAGGCAGCGTGCTCCCTGCCTCACTGCCTCCATTGCTCCCTTTGAAGCCCCCTGGACACCCCTCTGCCCTGTGCCATCAGGACAGCAAGGCCCAGCAGAGCCAGGTCTCCGGGGTTGCGCCCGCTGCTCCCGGCAGTGATGGGAGCACAGATAAGAGCGCTCTCCCGCTTATCGCCCCATCAGCGGCGTTGCAGCGGCTCCGCTGCCCCACCGCCGAGCACCGAGCCCTGATCTCATCAGCGCGCCGCACACTTGCAGCTCGAACAATAACCTTCTTCCCTACCCGACACAATTCCCAGAAATGCACAGCCTCCTGCTAAAGCCTCCCTGGGGGAAAGCATGCCAGCCGGCCTGTCGGCACCAGCACGGACATCGCTGCCAGCCGCTGGCAAACGCAGCCTGCTGCGTCCCTGGCGAGGAGGCACCTCTGCAAAAACAAGGGTGTGCTGGGTGTGGTGGAGGGAGAGGCCAAACTGGAGTCCTTGGGGCCACCCAGGAGCTAGCCGTGCTCAGGAAGTGCCTCTCCCTCTGGGTGTTCATGGCCAGGTGTGTTGCCCCATCCCAGCCACCCTGTTTGCAGCCCCTGGCTTGGGTGCTGTCACCCTGCTCGCTCCTGATGCCTGCTGGGTTCACAAAGGGGCCAGGGGGAAAAACCAGGCCCGTCTGCCTGAGCTGGGAGGGTAGAGACAGGTCTCTGGGTACTCCTTACCCCAGCAGGGAACTCCATCCTGGAGAGGCTTTTCCGCATCTCACAGCATCCCTAAGTGACTCAGTCTGCCAGAGCCTTTCCTCATCACAGCTGAGTAATTGCTATTGCCTCTTCCAGATGAAATATCTGGACACTCAGGCAGGCATGGCTGGATGCTTGAGGCAGGTATTTACCTTGCTGCAGCTGAGCTGGGAGTGGGAGAGGGCCACTGGCATAGCCATCTTTTCTCCAAGGGCTTCCTCTGGAGCTCGTCAGCCGGTCTGCCCATACACAAGGCCAGATGTGCCATCCAGGGAGGGGCAGTAGCAGCCCTGCCTGCACAGGCAGGGACACAGCAACAGACCTGCAGCCTCAGACCTCACAGTGATACAGCAGATATGCCAAATTCCCACACAAAAGGTGCAACACCAGCACCATCCTGCAGCCCACATGGATGGGGAGCAGCACCTGGCAGGGCACAGTGGTGTCCCCAGTGCAGGAGGACCAGCCTCATGGTGTCCCTTACACGGGATGCATTGTTCATGAGAACACGTGGGGAAGTCCAAGGAGGACAGACTCGCTGGCTGCATCGGGCTTCCTGCCTCCTGGCCCCGGCTGCCGCCTGACATCATTGCTCCTGGTGGGAATGGCCACCCTGGCCCCACTCGGTCCCTGACATTAGCCAATAATTTCCTGACCTCCTGTCCGGCTTTTCAGCCTCCCACAGCCCCCCATGGTGTGGAAGCTTTTGTGCCTGATATATCTGAGGTACATAGATCGCTGTGCCTTTTGCAACCGGACCTGTCTATCTCACGTTGGCCCTTTTAGCCACTAGCATGCTTGTAGCAAATGTGGGTAGAGCCCTTCCCAAATCTTTGTTTGCAAAGCCTAGCCTTGAAAAATTATGAAAAATGAATCTAAGGTATATAGATATATATAGGTATAGATGTATGCTTGACTCCTGCTACCATGGCACAACAGCTGGCAAACCTGTGTTCTCTTCCTCACTACCATGGGCACAAGGGAGGTGATGCTCCCTGTCACCTCACCATCCACATCCAAGGGTACAGGATGGCACTGCGCCTTGATCCTGATGCTCCGTCTGCTTCCCATCCCTCTGTGAACCGGGTGGCTGGAGACCCTCCATCTTGCACTTTGGGTCCTATATTCCTTAAGCACCTTCCCTGTGCCCTCACCAGTGTGTGGCATCACGGATCAGGACCTTGCCTTGATCCCAGGGACACAGCACAGCACTGGGGCTGGGGCAGGCTGAGCTGCTGGCATGTGACAGTCCCACAAGCTCCATCCCTCTCATCCTCCCATCCCACTCATCCACCTACAGATTCAGTCCAGACCAGGAGTATGTGTTCTCCAGAAACCCCCTGTTTATAATGACAGGGGCCAGGAAGGCTGAGGAGGTGGAATGTGGGGGGAAACAACACAGGTGTTGGAAGGATGATTCCTCCTGTGAAGCGCAGGAATGCACCATGCACCGGCTCTGTGGAGGCACTGACCTTCCCACCATCCTTGTATGTGCCCAAGTGATAGCAGGGTCTGAGTGCAGCATGTGCTGCCTCACCCATCCACCCTGCACACCTGGTGTGGGTTTTTCCAAATACACAGACTTTGTAGTGAAAATGTGGAGGATCCAGCAAGCCTCAGGCTGTTGCTGCATGGCCTCCCTTGCCTTGCAGCCCTGAGTTTTTTTCCCTGGGTGACTCCTCATGAGCAGAGCATAACCTTGGGCTGATGCACTGCAAACCTGCCCTTGTCCAAACCCGCTGCCATCAGCATTTTGCTGCAGCTGCTTCCAGTGCTGCTCTAAGAGTTTTTCCTTGCAGCCTAAACCCCCACCGCTGGCTCCGTCCTTCTGGCTCCAGCCCACTGGGGATGGAAGGTTTCTCCTTCCCGAATACAAATATAACTGTAATCTGCTAAACCCTGCTGTTGATCCTGACTGCATCCTCCTGTCCTGAGCTTTCCTACAGTGCCTTTTATACCGGTAATAGCACCAGGCTCCTTCTCCCATCATTGTTGACTCGACAATGAAAACTGTTTGTATTATTGTGTCCCCGAAGCTTTGCCAATAGCACATGTGTCCCGAGCTGATAGCAACAGGCTTTGGCAAGGCTGCAGCTCCATCAGATAAGAGCCTTTAACCTTATTTCTCCAGCTTGAGCGCTCCGCAAAGGGCCATTCTGTCGTGAGCTTTTCCTTATTCTCTCCGAGCACTTGCAGATCAGAGTGAGACTCCACGGCCCAAGAAGAGGGGTCGCTGGCAAAGGGCAGAGGTGGAGGTGTTCAGGGCAAGCAGCCTGGGAAACGGCTTCAGCTTGGGTGAGAGAAGAGCCCTGGGGGGAGATGGAAAGACAGAGCTGCTTTCCCAGGCAATTTAAGGGCCAAATGCACGGCCATCCCCTGTCCCCTGCCTTCCTCAGGGACCCGCTCCACCCCGCCGTGCTCCACCTTGGCCCGGCTCCCGCGCACAGCAGGAGCAAAGTGGAGGAGAAACACTGGAGCCCGGAGGCCCTCGCACGCTCCCGGCTGGCCCGCGAACAAAGCCTTTCCCTTGGAGCCCTTCCCTGCAACCTCCCTCCTACCCCGGCCCCCTGCGCTCCGCCAGCCGCGGGATCCCCGGCACCGGCACAGCCTTGGGGGTCCACACCATCCTCCTCATCCCACCCTGCATCCCTGTGCTGAACCCCTCCCTGACTGCTCTCAGCATCCCTGAGCTCTGCTGCTGGGGGATTTCACTGCTGCTTTCTGAGCTGCAGCAAAAAGGATGCTCTGAAATCAGAAAGTAAAGAAAACAGTGCTGCCTCTGGCAATGTTTTAAATCTCATTTTTAGTCCAATTTATGGGAGGGATGTCACAGTTTTTGGAGTTTTGAGCTGCAAATGCTGCATGTTCCATTTCCCTTCTGTTAATGCAGCACCGAAAAAGCAAAAGTTGTTCCTCTGCTGGCAGTGAGGGAAAACTCTCAGGTCCTTCTTTTTATTCTTAGTATTATTATTGTAATTATGATTTATTCTTAGTACTATTATTGTAATTGTTATTATCATTCTTTCACAGGATAGAAGCACTCTATCAAAATTACCCGGATACATCCTGCCTTTGATGAGGAGATTATTGTCTCTGAAGGGCCCAAGGAGAGGCTGGGCCTGAGGAGAAGCCCCATGCCCAGCACAACACATGGGGAAACTGAGGCACAGAGCCACCACAGCATCTACCCTGCTCTGAGCCAAAACTCCTCTCTTCCACTGGTGTTTCCTTGTCTATGTGAAGGTGAGTTTCTCTCAGCAACACCCTCATCCTTTCTGCCGGATGGTAAAAGCCTTGGTGAAGCACAGAGGTGGCCACAAGATCCTGTGTGCAGTGGGGTGGGCTGCAAGTTTTGGTAAAGGTTGTCACTTCTAGGGATGCTGCAAAGGGCACCCCTTCCTCCAGGCCTTGCTGCAGTGATGCTCAGAAACCAGGCAACCACCTTCTCAGGATCCTGTGAGCAAGCCAGCCCATGTGTGGAAAACCTGAACAGAAAGCACTGGGTTGGGGCCCGCAGACAAAGCAAGGAGAGGGGAGAGGAGAGAGAGGAGAGAGGAGAAGGGAGAGGGAAGCACAGTGCAGCCAGCAGTCATCTGCCATCTGCAGCTGCCCGGTGAGGTAATGCCTCGTGCTAAGTTAAACCATGTCAGGAGCCACAGCAGCTCCTGAGAACAGCAAACCTTTCCCAGATGGAGATGTCCTGTGCTGCTGCATCAGCCTTCCCAGCAAGAAAGTAGATGAGTGACCTTCCTGCTGCCAGCTGGGGGGCCTGATGCCCACAGGAGTGCAACCAGCCACTCCCTCACTCCTGCTCTCCTGCTGCTGGAACTTCATTTTGGGGAGCAGAAAGGCAATAACCAACTCAGCCCTTGCTGTGAGCTCCTGAGGTCTGAGACACACAGCTGAGGTGGAATTGCTCTGTTGCCTTCCTTCATTCCACTCCTCTCCCCTGCTCGAAAGTGGCATCCTCATCCACAAAGGTTATCCATGGTACTTCCAGTCAAATGATGTTCAGGGAGCAAGGGATAAGCAGACACCCAGTGAGGCCTGGAGGTTGGGAACCCATAGAGCAGAGCCCTGGTGAGAAAAGCATCTGCAAAGGGGAGGCTGCACTTTTCCTGGGGGTCACATTGTCTCCTGGCAGTCCCCGAGGCTGCAGGTGAGGGTTCACCACTCCATGGAGAGGGGCCGCGGTGGAGCAGCAACCGGCCGTGGTGCTTGTGGGCACGTGTGGCTGCAGGGCCACAGATGGGCAGCCCTGACCCACCTCAAAAATCCAGGCTCAGAAACCCTCCTAATTGCAGTTTTCCTTTCCCCAGCACCCAAAAGGAGGTCAGGCAGACCGGAGCAACCAGCCTGAGCATGCAGAGGGAGCAGGATCCTGGTTCTTGGCTGCATCTCGTGCACAGACACCAGCGAGCAGGATTTTCTGCCAACTCAAGCGATGGAAGCAGCGAATAACCCTGGCATGCCCAGGCTCTGCACAGCCCAACTGTCGGCCAGCTGCCTGTTCCTGGGAGGATGCAGTGCCATAGGCAGAGAGCATTTTCTTACTGTAATCAAGAAAAGAAATTGTGCCGATCGGAGCAGCTGAATGGCAGCCAAATCTGCTTCTCGGCGGCTTTTCTACACTCTGTATTCATGTATTTGGCATGAGTAGCTCTGCATTGAGGTAATTCATTAATGCTCAACCAAAAATGTGTTTATGGGAGTCTTGAAATAGTTGGTAGAAGTGTAAGACTTTCCTTCCTAAAAGCCTGGGCTCTCTCTGTGATGGGAACCGGGTATTAAAGCATCGAGTGCTGCTGCAATCAGCTGCCAGGGAAGCGACTCCAGGCAGCGTGTGTGCACTGCACGCTCCAGCACGCTCAGATCCCCTTGTGCCGAAGCCTTTCCCTGGATTTAGTCAGGCCATAAGCACCGTGGGTGGGATTTGCAACAGCTCGGCTCATGCTTGGGATGTGGGTGCTTCACCCCGGGTTTCACAGAGAGCAGGTTGGGGAGCAAACACGGGGTGATGTGGCTGGAAGTGTGGCACCCTGAGCTGGTGGGACCATCACCAGAGAGTCAGGGCTCTGCCAGGAGGGGCTGTGGCAGGGCAAAGGCAGGGGAAGGGAAAGCAAGACAGCCCTGGTGAGGACCAAGGACTCTAGCCATCGCCCAGGAGGTTGTGGCAGCTGTGTCTGTGTAGAGCAAACAGCTTTTTCAGGTTAGCTGTGGGTTTCACTGCTTGCACAATGGGTATCGCTGTTGTCGTTCCAGTTATAATCCTGTATAAACAAGGCTGACCTCTGGTTATTGAAAAGAGCTGAAAATAAAGACAACTTTCTCTGCTTCCTCGGATGCGGTGTCTGATTGCCGGGCTTGGTCGGCACAATCCTCACCGCGCTCCCGGCTCTGCTCCCGTGGCTGTTGGGGACCTGCCAGCGTGGTTGGCAGCAGGGCAGAGCAGCAGTGAGCACCTGAACAGAAAGCCACTGTAGCCCAGGACACCTTCCTTTTGTCTCCAGTGCCCTTCACTTGTCAGAGGGAGCTGGAAGCCAAGAAAAAGAGCAAGTGAGCAGAAAACAGCTGAGCCAGATATTCCCTGGACTGGGACTGGCACAACCACCCGCTCTACCCCACTTGGTGACAGTCTGGTCCCTGTCTGGGGACAAGGAGGACATGTCACCCTTGCACAGGAACATGGCTGCAGCCAGGATGCTCCTCACATGGATGCTGAACCGTGTCTGCTGGCGCCCAGCAGCCCCTGGCTGCCTCGCTCGGTGCTTTCCAGCTCCGCCTGACCCACTGAACTATTTGTGCCCGAGGAAACTGGGAGCTGAGCTGGGCCCTGGAGAAAGGGAGGCTCCAGTGAACACAGCATTTCCCAGCGGATGACTTCAGCCTCCCGGCAGGGCTCACACACAGCCCCAGCCTGGAGTCCTTTGCTCTCCAGGAAGTGCCTTTCTTTGGGAAGCCTTTGTTCCAGCAAGGCTGGAGCAGCCCCAGCCCCAGGGGAGCCCACAGGACCTACCGGCACGGGGGCACCTCTTGGGGCACTGGGGCAGCCACCAGCCTGGGCAGCACTGCACAGGTCCCCCAAATTCCCTACTCCCCTCAGCCACCCCAAGGGTTCTCATCTCTTTTGGGATGAGGAAGCAGGTGCGGGTGTAGGTCACATCCATCCCACCTGGCTGCACTGCTCAGGGTACCTGTGCAGTGTGGCCTAGCGATAATTATTAGCTATAATTAATAACAGATCTCTTCCTGTGAAACAACTCATTCATCCAGTCAGACACATCACAGCACCAGCCACACACTAGTGGTAATTTTATGGTGATTTATTAACCAACAGCATGAACACATCTACAGGTGAGGCTGGTCCATGTGAGCGAGTCAAGGCAGCGCTGGGCACCACAGGAGGGTACAGCACCTGCACCCAGGCACCAGGCCCAGGGACTCATCCTGCCCCTGCCCCTGTCCCATCACCTGCACCCCTTGTGACCTGCACCCTCTGCAAAATGAGGATAAAAAGCAATTTTCCCATCACAGTTTGTGTCCTTGCTGCTGCTGTGATGCAGGGTCCTGCCACCATCCACCTGCCACCTCTGTTATCTGGATGCAAATTTTGAGGGTAAATCCCTTGGATTTGGTTGCACAGCCCCAGGCTGGGGCTTCTGCACCAACGTGCAGCCATCAGCAACAGAAATAACCATCAGGCTCAGCTGGCAATTCTCACTTTTCCCTTCTTGCCATCCCCACCAGCCCCACTTTGAGCCCCAGATCCCCAACACCCCTTAGGATCGTCCAGGCGGTGCCACATCTATTTTTAGGCGGGTGGGAGCTCGGTGTTGGACCTGGCTGGGAGGAATAACCGGGAGCGAGCGGGCAGGCTGGGGGCGGGGAGGGAAAATGCCTTTGTGCTGGAGAGCCGTCCCGCCACGCTTCCTCTGCTAGGTGTGGTGCTGGGCTGTGTGGGATGCTAGGAAGGGAAACCAGAGGCCGGGGTGGGGTCAGCCAGCTGCCAGCTCAATAAAACTGAGGAGGGAAAGAAAAAAAAAATTGAACTAAAGAATACTCAACTCCTGAGAGCTGTGAGCTGGACTGGGGTCCACCTCACCTGACTCCAAGGCCACTGAGGAGGGTGGGGAGAGAGGTCACTCGGCTGGCATGCACCGATCCTGGCCCTGCACAGGGATGTCCAGAGCTTCCTCCCTGGTCACTGCTGCAGATGCAGCTGGTGAGGAGCCAGTGAGTTGCCAGCACCCCACATTGCATCCCCGTGGGTAGCAGGGAGAAAGGAGGGGGTTTATATGTCCGTCTCCCTCCCAAGAAAAGCTGTGCCGGGCACAGACCCTGCAACTTCACCTCACACCTGGCTGGCTGAGAGGGGTGGCATTGTACATGATGGCAGGCAGCACACCCCCTCCATGCCCCTCACAGGCTGGGTCAGGTATTTTTGGGTGCTTTGCACCCAGGCATTTTCGGGTGCTTTACATGCTGCTCCATCCCCCTCACAGCTCTCCTTCCCCTCTTTCTCCCCTGCTTTGCATCCTCCAGAAACCATGCCACTAACCATGGCTCTTCCTCCCATTCCTTTTTTTCCTTTCTATTCATTCCTTTTTTTCCTTTCTTCCATTTTTTTCCTTTTTTTTTTCCTTAATGATGCAGCACCAACAGCAAATGTGTGCATGAGGAACACCCCTACTGCAAGGCTGGGTTTGCAGACCCAGTGTGTGGCTGGGTTTCACGTGTGCTTGGAGGTCAAAATGCCCAGCTTTTCTCCATGGGTAGAGAAGGTCCCAGACTAGTCCGTTGCAACAGCAGCAACCGCCCTGATCTCAGCCCCTGCACAGGGAGAGCATCCCACGGGGAGAAGGCCCAGCCTGGAGCAGCTGCACAGAGAGCATGGAGAGCAAGAGGGTCTACCTGCCCCGGGAGGGTTTGCCCCATTCTTAGCATCATTTCCAGGGCAAGAAAATCGGAGCTGCCCCCACTCCCACTTTGCTGAAGCTCAGCCCCACCACATCCCAAATATCAACTGGTGACACTGGTAACAATCCCAGCTCTGGGGCAGTTCTGAGCCCACCCAGAGGCCGAGGATGCTGACAGGGCCATGGAGGAGGCCATGGAGAGGATGTGACCAGGGAAAGCAGGACATGCTTGGCTGAAGCCTGGGAGAGGGGCCAGGATCCATGTCAGGGTGATGTTCCTGGGACATCCCCAGCAGCTGCCCAAACTGACTGCCCCAAAGGCTGCTCTCACTTCACCCCACAAGCAGCCACAGGCACCAGCCTGAGGACCCCCAGCTCCCCCAGCACCCACCTTGCTGCTCCCGTGGCAGCGGTGAAGAACCAAAGCCTCCAGGGGCTCAGTTGGACGGCAGCAGGGGCTGCTCCTCTGGCATGGCAATGCTGTGGCTCCCTCTGGATGAAGGAGAGCGGACAGGAGGCTCCTTGAAGCCACATGGGCTCTCCCATGGACTGGTGCTGATTTGCTCTTGCAAAATATTAATAAGAAGCTCCAGGAACATGAAGGAAGTCTCGCCCGAAACCTCTGTCACTCCTGGCTGGTGATTGAAGAATAAGTGAGACACAATTTTTTCTTTTTCTTTTTTTTTTAAAGGCCTTTGTTTTGTTTAGGGTTAACAGCAGATCGGCATTTCCAAATCACTTCCAGACACACAGAAACCATGGCATGCAATACCCCACGGCTGCGAGAGGCTGGAGCTGGGCTCTTGCGCAACCTGGTGCCCCAAGTCTTCCTAACGCCGAGGTTCACATTTCAGGCTGGGGTCTGGGGCATGTCCACAGCCAGAGGGGGCTTGGGGGCAGCTACCCGGAGCTGGGACATCTTTCCCAGGTCAGCCCAATTGGCCGGGCGGTGTCAGAGGGCAGGGACAGTGAGCCAGCACATCTCCTTGACTGCAAACGGGTCCCGCAGAGTTCATAACTCCCCGGTGCCAAGGGCAGGAAGGACCTTCGGACCACCTAGCCTGATGCTTGGCGCTGCAAATCCCTGCTGGATGGCAGCCAAGGGAGCGCAGCAGTGACCTGGTGTAAGGGGACGTGCTGCTCCGCCGCGGCTGCCGATGCCCAAGGCATCAGCACAGCCACGGCAGCCCCAGCAGCTCCAGAGGCTGGTTTTAGCTGCAATCACCTGGCTGCTGGTGAAGCCCCCATTCCACAACAGTCCCTAGAAAACACTTTTCATGCGAACGGTGCTTGAAATCAAGAAGTCATTTCTCCCCCCCGCCCCGACGTTGAAATTCCCACCAGAAAATTGCCAGGGGAAGAGGGATCGCCCCTGCCTTTATCCCAGGGCTGCTCCCGACCCCGGATGGGGAATGCTGGCCAAAACACACACACGGAATCAGTCATGAGAAAAATAAATGCCGAACCCTGAGCATCCCTGCGCTCCTGCACACAGCCTGGCAGGCAAAGCTGAACACTTCCCTGCACGGTGGGTGGTGGGAGGCAAGGGTAGGGCATGGAGCAGAAAAGGGGCTTGCAAAATAAATAATAATTAAAAAAAAACAACACACACACACACAAAAAAGAAAGACATACAGAAAGGCAGAGAGGCATAAAAAGGCATGAAGAAAGAAAGAAAGAAAGAGAAAAAGAGAGAAAGAGAAGGCAGAGAAAAATTTAACAACCCTCCTCCTTGGAAGGAAGAGAACTAGGCAGCAGCGTCCCCACCGGTCCCGGCTCGGCCCTGCCCGGGTGGCTCTTCCTGCTGGTGCCTGGGGACGCCCCCCTTCCTCCTCCTCCTCCTCCCCCTCATCTCCTCCTTCTCCTCCTCCTCCCCCTCATCTCCTCCTCCTCCTCTCCCTCTCCTCCTCCTCCTCCTCCTCCCCTCGCCCCGCTGATTGGTCCAGCCCGGCTATATTTTGCCCCTTCCAGCCCAGCATCATCCCAAAAGTTTTTTTTGGGGGGAAAAGGGGGAAAAAAATAAAAAAAAAAGAGAGGAAAAAGAAAAGAAAAGAAACCAAAACAAACGCGGGCGATCCCGAGTCCCCCGAAGGCAGGCGAAGGAGGCGAGCGGCGGGCGGCTGCTCAGCGGTGCTGGACTCGGCGGAACGCGGCGGGACCCGATTCTCTCTCCGGCACCCGGTCGGGTCTGACACAAAGTGCTGTCCAGCTGGAATGAATATATCTGAGTCTAACTACTGCCGAGAGGAGATATCGCAACCCCGGGGCGACTGTTCATGGGTCACCGCCGCCGTGCCGGCCGCTGAGCCCGGGCTCGCCTTCCCGCGCCCCCCGGGAGCCGCCTCCCCCTCCAGCCGCACGCCCAGCCCCGAGCCCGGCTTCGCCTTCGGCCCCGGCCCCGGCGGCGCGGCC